GCATCTTGTGCTTACTTCCTTGCGTACGGATGACAGCTGCGTATGACTCGATTTATTTTCTGGTGCTTTCACTTCCTGAGACAGTTGTAAGCACCGCGTAACTGCCTCGAGGGTGCGTGATCATTTTAACACAAGNGGCTCTCACATCACCAAGCGCGAAGCGCCGTGAGACATTCGGCGAGTCGCTTGAAGGGTGCGCTGCATCCTGCTAAGGGCATCTTGTGCATACTTGCTTGCGTACGGATGACAGCTGCGTATGACTCGATTTATTTTCTGGTGCTTTCACTTCCTGAGACAGTTGTAAGCACCGCGTAACTGCCTCGAGGGTGCGTGATCATTTTAACACAAGGTGGCGCGATCATCCCCCTTGCGCGGAGTGAGGGTCCTCCACCCCGCACAACATGATCTACTCGACCAGCATTAGACTATGGTTACCGCCCAAAAAAAAAAACGGAGGTAAAAAAATAAATAATCGGTGACCTGGTTGCCGAGTTCACGAAGTGACTTGGCTTGTTTTACCACGTCCTTGCCAAGCGACGAAAACCCAACCCCGATGGCAAACATGGGGGGGAGGCGTGAAGGGAGGGGTCAAACTGGAACAAGTGCGGAGGAATCGGGCCATTCGTGAGCCAATAGTCGTAGCTCGGGTGACCGGCTAGGCGCTATCCATACGCCTTGTACAGGGACCACTATGTCTTGAACCTGGAATACAACGGTGCATGAGGATCAACACTCAAAGGATTTCTGACAAACATGAACGATGCCACATCAGACGGTCGGCTCAACGAACCGCTAACCACGCAAAAACGCTGCATGTAAAAACCCGTCGTTACAGCCGTGAGAGTAGAAACACGAATACATGGGTTCGGCAAAGACGACAAGAGCTTCCCACCTCCTCCGTAGCTCTAACGCTGGCGTTCCGCGGTTCTCCGTAGATGAGGGCCAGTTCTCCGAAGTAGTGTCCCTCGAACATTTGTACGAGGAGTTTCGTCCGCTCCATGTCGGTCTCGGGGTCGATGGACGTCTCCAACACGTCCACCGTGCCCTTCACGATCATGTAGAAGACGTCTCCGTCTTCGCCTTGCCGAACGATGAACTGTTCCCGTTGTGTTCATGGAGGTGTGTGGGTTCGTCGTTCTCGTTGGTGGTGATGATTTTTGGAGAGGGTACAAGGATGTCGGTGTCATCGTAGAGGTAGCAATACCGGCAACAACCGTTGTTATGAATGCGGTTGTCGTTCCAAGAGCGCGATGACGTAACGACAAATCGACATCGTCCGCGTTCAGTGGCTCGACTTTGTTGGTGGAAGCCGCTCTTGGCTGCAAGGCACCAAGTAAATCAATCACTTGGTGCAACATGAAACAACACCGATGAATCGCGACGTTCTTTTCGTGAATCCCGCGGCCAACAGCAGGCGGTGAGATCTGCCGACGAAGCTCCAATTAACGCAGGCAAGTAACTACAGCTGTGACTCCGATATTAGAGGATGGTGTGACAGAGGCCCTGGACCCTCTTATATCGGAGCCCCCTCCGATAACCAGAGTACGAGAGTGCTCAACAACTGGAGTATACTATAGAAGGTCGAAATCGTTACAACCGTTTTCGACCCTCTTATATCGGAGCCCCCTCTTATAAGGTACCCTTTTATATCGGAGCCACGACCGTAAACAAGTCTTCGAACTCATTGTGAAACTAATCACAAACACAGAAGGCAATGAACACAAAACAGAATACAGGGCGAGGACACCCTCCCGCTTCTCCTATCAAGATGGGGAAGCAAGTAAAGCAAGCCTTACCTCCGACTCGCTACTGCAACAATCGCCGCAACTAACGCTTGAACCACAACAAACGTTTCCCTCCAACTCGCCATTGCGATCAACACAACAACAACGCCGACAACAAACACACCAACAACAGACACAACCACACAGCAGCACGAAGATCGCAATACTTAGCACGTACATCTCCCGCGGAAAAGGTCTGGTGCCGCAGCGTCTGCTGTAGGGCGTGAAGGGAGAGCATCGGTAGGTTCGCCAGAAGGGGAATCTGAAACACACAGGTTTTCCACAAGGAAGAAAAGGAACGTAAACGTCGGGCAAGGACCCTTTCGGGGATGACACTTGGTGGGTGGGTGGGGGGGTGGGGGGGGGGGGGGTATCGAAGAAGCGGCCGTTGTGGGCCCGGCAGCCATGCAACGAAGCCAAACGCGCGGGTGTCAAGCTCGGACAGCCTCGGAGTAGATGAGCACCCTAGCCCACACAATCTCTTTCAAACCCAATCGACAAGAGTACAAAGTGATGGATGAAGGGGAGAGGGATTGGGGGGGGAGGGCTAGGGTCCAGCTTAAGGGTGCCAAAAATATCGCGATACACTCATGTCAAGTAAGGTGCGGTGCCCCTTCGAGTGGCAACACGTGCTTACCCTCACCCAAAATTCGCAGATAAACAAAGACGCAGGGTCATGACCAATCCCACACTTCACCCCAGTTTTTTTACCGCTGTATCAAAATCCGCCGCGTGCCCGGCGGCGGCGGCGGCGGCGGGACTCGCACCTCTTTCATTAGTACGAACATGCGGAACGGCTCCCACACGCGCATGTCATCGATGTCGATGCTGGCCACGTCTACCACGGTCGACGCGGCAACCATGGTTGCCACCCTTACGCTCTGCGTGGCAGCACGAGCAGCGGCAGCGTGAACAGCAGCAACGAGCCAAGTTCGCCAAAGCAAGGCGCCGGCAGATGCAGACAAGGGTGGGGGCTTTGTGTTGAGCAACGATCCCATGGACTTGAGTAGAGCAGTTAGGTCGTGGTACGCTCGACATCCCTACGAAAACAGGGGGGGGGTGCAAGTCGAAGTTTCCCCGGACAAGCCGGTGGGGTGGGGGTAGTACAAATTACTTGCAGCCGCTGAGTTCGGCGCTGTTGCTTTCGTCCTGCACAGCGCGACGGTGGCAGCAGCACGCAAGAAACGACCCACCATCGACAACACAAGACGACTATCAGACACACACAGCATATCTTCGATCCCGCCAGAAAGGGACGTTCGCTCGACGAAACACAATCATCACTCCCGCAAATGCCGCATTTTTGCTGAAAGTTTACATAACCCCTTGCCCTCCTCCAGTTGTCATTTTCTTCATACGTTTTCTGGCGACATGTTTGCGCACTACCCTCCGAGACCGAGTGCTACTGCGGGTGGACGATACAGAAACACAAACACACGCAAGACACGCCATAAGCACCCTCTTTGCTGCATCCACACCCTAGACACCCAAAAAAATAAACTCCAAACCTCGTTTTCGCTCAGGTATTACCATGACAGCGATACCCCCCCCCGTTCAGCGCTCCGTCTTCTCGAGGACGCGTAGTCAATGGTCTAACCGCTAGGGCATGCAAAACATGAGAGTACGCCTCCCAACCCCCATAGTTCACCTCCGCTTGCCTCAGGAGCC